TTTCGCAACACCAGTTTTCAAACAAACTTGCGCTCGCGCTCTTGCATATTCTTGAGAAACCATTTTTCCGCATGTTCATGGACTTTTGCCAAACGGGTCTCGCTCCGCATGCCGGAATCAGTCGAACGCCCTTGCTCGTGTGCTGGGGGGGCACGATCCGTGCCACATAGTACCATGGTGCCGCTCGCGCTTTGGCCGCGCGCGCATGTCGAATTTATTCCAAAACTTTTATCGCCGAAATGGGGAGCCCGTCATCGTCGTCGGCGTGATCAGCATCGGCGCCGTCACTGGCCGTGCCGTCGTCGTTGTCAACATCGTCACCAACATCGCTACTATCATCATCGGGTGTCTGCCGTTGCCGACGGTGCCGTGATACCGCGCCCGCCCAAATCGCCGACTTGCACCGAAGTGCCCGGTGGGATGTGCCCAGCGGTCAGCGCCTCTGCGGCCGCGTCGGTCGCGCCAAACTACTTGGTCGTTGCGCGCGCGTGCGTGCGCGGGTTGACGCGGCCGCAAAGATGCACCAACCAGCGCCGAACACTCATCGCAGTCGCCGCCGTATGGATGTTGTAAGCCATGATGCTATGTTTGCACGAGCGTGGAACGGGCCAATTCTTTTCCCCAAAGAAAGCACCAAACATTACACAACGTATCTCACACCGCGTCGTTTGTTCCACGTCCATTGCACAGCGTACGCTGCTAGAAACACACCGCTGGGGTCCACGCAGGCCAGGTACATTCGGAACAGAATATCCGAACTCAAATAAGTAAGCAAGTCAGCCCATACTGACTGTACGTTGGAATACAGACGTGGAAGGACCCACAATCGTACTTTCAGTCTGATACACAGCGCCGGTGATGCAGCCGCAACATGACAGAAACTATGTCTGGTGACTCGGGGTCTTCAAGGATAAAACATTGCATCGAAAGGATAATTCCGATGACATGTTGAACGGTTCGTGTCAAGATTTCATGTTTGTCACTTCAGTTTGGCAATGTTAATCAAGTAGTGGTGTGTTCACAGTGGGATATTGAAGATGTGACAACCTCACAACCAATTTAACGTAATGCCCCTTTCCAGTTTCATATCCGCCTGGACTCAGTGATTGAGAAGGCTTGGAAAGATAATGGGCAAGTGCGCTCTCGAGAAACAGGGCCGCACACAACGGCAAGGCATGCACGCAGTGTTTTGGATCGAATCGAATGACTTGAACGTATATCGGTGTGCACGGACGGAGCTTCCAGTGGCGCCAGTTGTTGACGAAGTGTTCAGCGATTTGTTGGTGAGATCGCAGAACAACGTCGGGCAAGTCAGGCGGATCTTTTTACAGTGAAGCTCGTCTGGAATCTCTGGCCGACAACGGAGTGCAGGACATCGCCAAACAGGATGTGATTTGGGATGCTACTGGTATTGATACGAGCTTTTCAAAATGGGTTTGTGGATGCGTCTCTCCTTTTAGCAAACATGTAAAAACAGCTTCGTGACACATCGGCAACCGCAGGGAACGCAATGGAAACTGCGAGAATGATTGGAGAACGAAGGCGGCTCTCCCCACAAGAGATCCACGTACACGGCTTCGACGAGGCAGCGCTGATGGTCGGAGGTTGGGGGGTGAGATCGCAGTGAAACGGAGACCCCCCACCGGGAAATCGGTTTCGGTTTCGTGTTCGTGTCTCGCGTGCTGGCGAGGCGAAGCTGCGCGTGATCCTCCTGTAGCTTGGCCGAAGTAGAAGCGAAAGTCCGTTTCCCGTCCGCTGGTGGCCGGGAGGTGTCCCACTTAGGCCGGGCGGTGTCCCGGGTGTCGCGGGTGTCAGTAGGAGCGAGAGTCCGTTTCCCGTCCGCCGGTGGCCGGGAGGTATCCCAGTTGGGCCAGGCGGTGTCCCGGGTGTGCCGGGTGTCCCGGGCGTCCCGGCGCTAACGCTGCTGTCAGCACCGCCGCACCCATCTCCCATCGTCATTGCCATCATTGTGGTGGAGGGGGAGACTGATAGAGAGAGAGAGAGAGAGAGCGAGAGAGAGAGAGAGACAGAGATTGTAGTGGCCTGTGGCCAGTGCCGCCGATCCGGGTCGCTCGGGGTTATTCTCCAGACGCAGACATTATGGGCCCAGTTAGGAAACGCAAATGCACGTACGGCGGGCACACATACAGAGACACACTAGGCGCACGCCAGACACTAGCACGCACAGACATGTGCAGACACGCATCACACACAGACACTCGCACAGAAGCGCACACCTGAATTTGCTTCGGCGTCGCGTGTGATGGGGTTGGTGGGGGGTGCGTTCGAAGCCGCGGAAATCCAATGGTTCTATGCGTCTGCCGGCAGGTCTACAGAGGGGCCCTCTGTAAAATCGCAATTTCCCCGCCCCTCCTTGAGCGCATCTACAGAGGGCCCCTCTGTCAAATCGCAAATCCCGCGCCCCCCATTGAGCGCATCTACAGAGGGCCCCTCTGTAAAAACTCCAATCCCGCGGGGGCCTGAATTGCGTTGCCCCTTGAGCGCATCTACAGAGGGCCCCTCTGCAAAATCGCCAAACACCCCGCATCCGCCGGAAACTCGCACCACCCCCCCATCCCCCCTTCCCCGGCAGAGCCACCCCGGCAACCCCCCCAGAGGTTGAGGCTCAGCCTCGAGGCTGTAGCTGAGACTCCTTGAAACTCACACGCCGGATCGGCGGATTTACCTAGTATGCGATGGTTGTCTCGTGGTTGTCTTGTGATTGTCCTGATGGTTGTCTGGTGGTTGTGCCGATGGTTGTCTTGTGGTTGTCCGACAACAAATCGTTTTTCGGCGCTTGCGGCGGGCTTTCTCATTTTGCTTTTGAGGTCGATAGTGA